GAAAACATCCAGTGCCTCATATTTGTGGTGAAGAAAAAATATAGGCATAACGCGAAAAATCATCTATGAAGGAGATGAAGTATCGCTGACCACCATAAGAGGGAGTTAGAAAAGAACCACAAATATTTGTATGAATGAGGTCAATGAGACTTTCACTCCTGGAGGCTTCAAATTTTCTCAATTTAGTCATCTTTCCCTTGATACAATCAACACCATTACCAAAATTAGAGAAATCTAACTGTTCAAGAACACCAGACTTAACTAAGGATTACAATCGCTTTCTTGAAGCATGTCTCAATCTTCGATGTCAAAGTATGGAAGAATTACTATTAAGCCTAGGACGCTTTGTACCAGAAGAAGATGAATTCACAGACATACAGAGAGGGGAATAAAAGATGCATCCAGATTTAATCTATAAAGACCGTCAATTAAGAAATCATGTCTGATAACATCCAAACCTTTTCTAATAGAAACAAAATTATTCTCAAAAACAAAGCTATAACCAGATCCAGAAAGTCTAGAAACTGAAATAAGATTCCTTCTCATAGAAGGTACATAGAAAGTGTCTGATAAATTAAGAAAACTCCAGAATCTAAGAGCAGACTGAAAGTCCTAACGAGCTCCACCTCCAAAGGCTGCGAGTTTTCCAAAAATAGCTGCTCATTTTCCCTTGCCTTCCTACTGTGGATTATTCATTGTAATGAAGTTGAAATATGCACAAAGGCACCAGAATCAATCCACTAAGAATTTGAGAGAACATCAACTAAATTTGTTTCACAACAAACATGAACAAAATCCCTACCTCCCTTCTTCTTCAGCCACTGCTTATACTTCAGATAGTCTCTCCTCATATGATCAGATTTCTTGCAGAAAAAACATTCAACCATTTCTCTTGCTGAAGAAGTGCTACAAACAGTTGAAAGATTGCCGAAAAACTTTTTCCCATTATTATGCCCTTGATTCTTGAAGAATTTCTTTCCTGCCTTATTTGGTCCAAGCTTGCCATGTGCCAGATTTGACATCTCAGTTTTAGCAACACATACAACAATAAGCTCATTCAAGTCTCATTTCCTGTCTTGAGAACTATAGTTCACTTTAAAAGTGTTAAATTTGCTTGGTAGAGAAGCAACTGCAAAATGAACCATCAGATCATCCTCTAACTGAAGTCCTAACTCCCTGAGACGAATAATCAACTGAGAGACCTTCAAAATGTGCAGACGAACATCATCACTTCCATCATATTTCAGATTAATGAGTTTGACCAGATAACTGTACTATCTCGCTCTAACGGATCCCTCAAACTGCTTCTTGATGGTCTCAAGCAATTCCTTAGCAGTTTCGCAAGCCAAAAACCCTCACGAAGTCTGGTCCACCGATGCTCTAATGATCAACATTGCAAGCTTGTTAGCTTTGACCCACTTAGCATGAGATTTCTTTTCAAATAGACTTGACTCATCAGGCTCTTCTGGCTTATCTTCAGTGAGAACATAGTCGTAGTCAAGACACCCAAATACTATTTCAACTTGCATCTTCCAGTTGTCATAGTTGGAACCGGTGAGGGGCTCAATCCCAGTCAGAGGCTTCTGGATAAACTGTCCGTCCATCTATATTAAGCCATGGACGTACAAATCAAATGAGACCTTTAATTTTATTAACTTTAATATCTCTACATCCAATTTAGGGTTAGAATGGATGGGTCAGAGTATTTTTCGTATGCAACCTTCCACTCTGTGGGATAGGAGGGTGCATCATCTCATCACACTTTTGGGCAAGTGATTTAATATACTATTCGCCCCTCCCCTAAATGTGATATATAATCACCTACAGGACTAGCCTACATAACGTTAGTTTGATTTGAACACTTCCTAACCTTTGGGCAATAGGGTTATCCTCCTCTCACTGACATGTTTTAACTATCCTGCACCACTTATCCTGTAGGGGATTTCCTAGACACATTTGGACAAGACTAGTAGTCCATCCACAGGTAAGTGCAACCTTCCAGTCCAAATAAGACTAAACTCAATATTAAAAAATTAGGGTATTATAAAAGGTTGGTCGTCTTTGGACAAGACACTACTCTATCATAATTTCTAAGTGACTGTTTTACTGATCTATCTTAACCCCATAGGTTGATCTAATATTGTAATCTATTTTATCATGAACCCAAATATTTACCCCACCTGAATTAAGGATATAATCAGGGTAAATCAATTATCTTTATGTGCATACAATAATTTTTTATGAATTGTCTAAATTTCTATATTAAAACTTTATAAAATAAAAATAAAAATTGTATAGTTGAAAAGTACACAGAATAATCTTTCCAACGAATATTTATGGGCTCAAATCGGACTTAAAACGGATCTATAGCGACCAAAATAAAATGAATGGTCAAAACTGTAATGGGTCGGGTCTGGAAATTAATGAGTTTTCATAATGGGTTGGGTCAGAATTTTAATGGATCAAATCCATTACTGTAGCAGGTCGGGTCTATTAAATATTGGATCGAGTCTATCTTAATGGGTTATAGGGTTATATAACTCAAATAATAAATGATAGTTATACTAATTAATCTAATTATTTAATTAATTAATTAAAACCCTAACCCTAATTCTACCTGACCTAAGAGGATGCTGCCGCCA